ATTTTATTGTCGCAGCCATTCGCTGCACAGAAGGCTGCACACGAGCACATCACGAGATGTTCAGACAAACTCCGGTGGTGGCTACAGGTTACACGAGGCGCCCAAATGTGCCCTGCGTATACTTAGGAAACCGGCGCTCATTCAATCTTTCTAGGTAGTACCAGTTGTTTTTGGTCAATATTGCTACAAGATATTTTTTAGCACGGAATCATCATAGAGACAGCCAGAAGCTCCCAAGCCCGAGCGACAGTGAAATCTGGGGGTTGAAAGTTCGTATACCACGTACACAGCTGATGCACAGTCAGTCACTGTGCACTTATACTTGACCACCTAGTGATAGCATACAATCATTTCGAGCTATAACTTGTAGCCTTATGTACAGTAAATAACCGTCTGAAGTTCATCTTGTGTCATTAGGGTCTGACGTAACACACCTGCCTGATTTCCTGCTGCCCAGCGCTCCAGTTTTCATATCAAGGGGACCGGGGCCTTGAACTCTATTAATAACTCATATTGCTTGCGTTTTCTGGTATTTTAAAGTATTGAACGAATTGTTACGTTCTACAACTTTACCAAATAAAGTGCCCTCTACTGAATGACTAAAACTTTGATTGATGAGTTTTTGTTAGTGACTCCTTTTGATGTTATTTTATATGCAGCAACAATTTTACACTTCGGTGATTGCTTGCAAAAAAAAGGGAAAGCCCTAACTGTCTTATTGTTTTTCATAAAAAAATCTGTATTGCTTAAAAAAAGCACATGTATGTCATCTCAGAGTTTTGCCCAAGATGTAAACATTGCTGACACATTCAATTGAAATGAATGCATCAAGATTGTGCATCGCAGTGACAAACCTCTCTCATTTGTGGGCAGGTGTGCACATGCTTGTGATGTTATGTTTTTTTTATTAAGTGAATGCGCAAAGAAAATCATTACCACAAGTCTGGTAAACTCTTCAAAATATAATAGATACTATGAATAATTACAACATTTCTTTATCCGCAATAGCTGTGCTACGCTAACAACCTTGCAGATTAAGATAATTCAGCTTTGTGTGAACGATATAAAGGGTAACAATATAAGTTTAAATGATAGCAGTCCATGCGTCGAAGATATAGCTTTTTCTGTATGCATGCATGGATGGAAGAACATCTATTAGAGTCCTGAGAGATGCGAGTAGAGTGTAAAGTGTCTCTATGTTTGCCTCATTGAAGGTCAGAGAGATGGGTGAGGAGAACTTCGAGTCACCCTAGCCTGCATGCAGAAGACTATCTTCTGTCAACGACAGTTCCCTTTTTTTAAGTGCTTGTGTTTTGTACGGAAGTACGGAATAGAGTGTGTGGGCCTTGCTTATGTTACAGTTGTAAGAAAGCTCTGCATGAAGATGAACAGTGTAGATTTTGAACTCATGCCCAATCAGCTGACCTTGATAGTGGCATAAAATATCGAAGGCATTAAAATGTGGCAGAACAATAATATGTAATATTTGCTGGTAGCACCATGGTATCATGTAGGAAAATTGAATTCTTGGTTGAGTGATACCAAAACCTACTTATTTGTTTACTGCTGGCTGTTCCATGTAAGAGCAAGGTTATGTATGCCAGATTTTGATGGTGAAATGATAATCGTACTTCTGAAACGTATTATGTGAGTTAACGACAGCAGTGTTTTGTTTAAAAGTAGGAATAAATCAAAGATGAAGCATGAGAGAGTTTCCATTGGTCTTTCGAGCAAGTTTTAAGTGTGTGACATTGCGAACTCTCTTATGCCTGTGAATTTCATAATAAAAAGTTGTCACAATCTTGAAAGAGGAACGTCCAAGCAGCGGCTATAAGTTATAACTCAGACGCTGAGCCTGTTAATATTTTACGCTTATGTGAACCCTACTTTGAATCCAAAGCTTATAAAATAACACACGCATTGCGCTCCTCCCCCGTCCCATTCTGCGTTTTGCGCCTTACACGCCACGCCGACAAAACCATAAGCATGTTACATGTGTCATATTCGAATATATTTATCTTCAATTATGCAGCTCTTAGGTAAAATGTACTGCATAGTGAAATGATTTCTCATGAAGGCATGAAGGCCACATTAAAATATCGTCAAAATGCCCGTTTTCTGAAGCAGTTATGCACCGTCGTAATGCGGTATAACTTCACAGAAAGATAGAAGCTTGGAGAGGTGAAAAAAAATGCCCCCACCTTTCCTAAGGGACTCTTGAGGGAATGTGAATGCATTGCGTAGCATTCATAACAGCGTTTCGCGCGCGAGGACCCAGCGTACGAAAAAAAAAATACTCTTTTTTTTTTTCCTACACCGCGCAGCCAATAGCGACAATCGCCGCACGTGGCGTTTTTCTGTTTCGAAAAAAGTGGTATGCACTTTCAGCTCTAGTAGCTAATGTGCACGGTTAAAAATACTATGATTGAATGAAACAAACAGTTCTAGACTCGGCGTTAGCATTTCATAGTGGCACCTCGAGCACACATTTCCGGATGTTCTGGAGAAGCGCCCAGCCAGCAAATGGCCGAGAGTGAGGCGCGAGCAGACGAGAAAGTGGGGTGCAGGGGTGAGAGGGAGTGAAAAGCGAGAAAAGGAGCGGGTGAAGCACTGCACCCACCCTCTCCTATACTTTCTTGCACCATATGCTCCTGTTACTAGGGGCGATGATGGGCGCGCACGCCTGCAGCTGTTGCTATGATAGAGGGAGTGAGAGCGGAGAGATAACACCTGCTGGCGCGCATACACAGTCCCGGACGCCGTGGACAACACCAGATGCCTGACATAATTATTTGACTTGTATACACGGATACACAAGGACACAGAGGAAAGAGGGAGAGAGCGAGCTGGCAACTGCCACCTGGAGGAGCACAACGCCTGCCTCCTCTCTCGGGAGGAGGGAAGAAACAGAAGAAAAGAAGTAACAGGGGGAAAAGAGGAAAGACGAGAGGGAAGTGTAGAAAAAATGGCGAAGACTTAGACAAGTACAAGTAAAAAAATTTTAAAAATCTGACTATAAACGGGTGTCCAGATCAGTTCAGTCCATAAAAGAAAGGATAGCTCAATGGGCCTGGTCGTGTTGGGAAGCACAAGCTCTCGGAAAGAGGTAATAATCTAGGGCTGTGCACTTTAGTCCCAGGAACTTATATGGCTTTTTCAGCAATGCCCGCTGTGTAGCAAATGCGCCACAGTGCACTATCAGATGCTCAAATGTTTCACAGGAGCCACAAGCAGCGCAGAAGAACTTTCAACACACCCTTGACGGTGTAATCGTTCACGCAGCAGCACAGAGCCCACTCTTTGTTTGTATAAGAGCGCTCCGGAACGATGAGGCAAGGCACAAACACGGGGAAGGAAGGATGCGTTCGCCACACGCTGGTCTGGGTGCTGCTTTAGGAGGTGTCGGCGTATAACCAACAAGCGTTGACCGGACAGTCACAGTCATCATAGTTACATGGCGAAGCAAGGCCATTCCCTTCTTCATTGCCCGCAATGCCCACGTGCGAAGGTACCCACTGTGCAGCTAGGCGTACTCTGCGTGGGAGAATATTGTTGGGGGATTCCATGATCAGCCATAGGATAGGGCTGTTGGTCTCTTTGCGGTTGAGTCGGCTAAGGGCACCACGAGAGCCGGTAAGGACGATAACTTTCAATGCTGGTAACTCTTCTTGCACGTACTTAAGGGCGACATAAATCGCTGCTAGCTCAGCTGTCACCGAAGATAAAGGGTGCGGTATACTGTGCGACGATGATAAGGGGTGCAGCACATAGTAGTAACAGGGACAGCACTTTGCGCCTCACAGTTTTAACATTACGGCACCAGAAAAGGCAATCATCGATGATTACACCCATGTAGCGGTGTTGTTGTCACCACTGTATCGGTGTCTCCGAGGTAAAGCCTGCTAATGCTTCGACAAGCACGTTCCCCGGGATGATTAGCCAGACTTAGCCCGACTAAGAAATGCATCCGCATTTAAATATCTACACACTGCTGTGAAGTGAATCACGACGAGTAGACAAAATACAGAGGATTGTTCTGACAGTAAAATACCCGTGAGATCAAGTACTCGAGCGTGCAAATAAGTGACAACGGGTGTGTTTTTCGGGGAGGGGGACCTAGTTCTCCCACCCCTCTGCCTAAAAGCCATAGGCAGGGGGGTGGAAAACTTAAGTCTCCTCCTCCGAAATTTGGATGCATGGAGGGGGGGGTGCTTTACCGAGGGCAAGTGATAAAAATAGGTGTTTTTCGAAACTTTCAACAAGTTCCCCCATTTCCCTAGAAAAAAATTCCTGCTTACGGGCCTGATACAATGTTTCTTTGCCGTTCAGCTGTTTCTCGTGCTCTCAACTACTGTGCAGCAGCTTGTTATCAGCGTTGCTGTTTTTTCACTGCTTCCCGAGCTCTCGTCTTTGTAGTAGCTTGTCGTCTTCACAGACGTTGAGCCGCCACGTGTTGCGCTCTGACCTCTGGAGCAACAGCTTGCCGCTTCGCCTTCTGATAACGAGAGTGCTTTCACGATCGTTTTCATCTATGACAGTATGAAAATGTGTTGTCTGGAACGCGCTTATTATTCATCGTTATGATCATAATCGTAGTGGCATATAACTGATACCTTGCATGTGCTGTGCCGTGATCACAGCGTCATCGTAATCAGGTACCTTGCATATACTAACGCGCTTGTTCTTCATTCTCTATGTCATGGCCTCAAGTGAGTACCTTGCATGTGCTGTGTCGGACATCGTACATCGCCCGATGGACAAGCCTAGACCCTAAGGTGCTTCGACCCCTGAAACTCTTGCAGCGTGAGGTGTCACAGAAGCTGGCACTTCGGCAAGTGGATTTGTCTTCGAGGCTGCAAACGTTGCAGCTTCATAAAAGACAAGACCTCTTTGCCGAAACTCTGGCTCCAGTGACACCCCGTGTTACAAGAATTTTTCGTATTCGTAACATCCTAAAACATGATGTTCTGACAACACACCTTCCTCTGTTAAAATGATAGCGGAGTCCTTAAAGAACAAGTGAACATTGAAGAGCACGTCCCTGGTTGCCAGTACATGAACACCAGCAGGAGAGACGAGGTTCCTTATCCGGAGCCACGGCCGGACGTTGGAGTCTGCTTTGTGCCGCCCATTTTCATCTCTCAAAAGAGCGAGGTAAGTCTACGGATGTAATACTGGTTTTCTCGGCTTGTAGAGTGAAAACGAAAGCCTCGTATTGGGGAACTTGAAAATACGGATGACAAGAACACGAATTGAATATTGACATCTTGATAGATAGATAAGTGAAGTATAACGTCCCAAAATCACTATATAATTGTGAGAGCCACTGTAGTGGAGGGCTACGGAAATTTTGACCACCTGGGGTTCTTTAACGTGCACCCGAATCTGAGCACACGGGCCTACAACATTTCCGGGACCATCGGAAATGAAGCCGCGGCGGCCGGTATTCGATCCCACGACCAGCGGATCAGCAGCCGAGTACCTTAGCCACTAGACCACCGCGGTGGGGTGATATTGACACTTTAGTGTTCGGAGAAGTCCACAGTGCCGTAATACAATTTTATTTAAAGGAAGGCTCCTCTTCGCTCTGACCACGAAAACATGTTTGCTTACTTGATTACGCAGGAACTTTAACTTTGAAAATGCACAAGAGAATTATGCTGGGTAAGCATGGTGTTCACAGTGACAGAGATGAAGAATAACAGGCGTTACACTGATGGGGAAACAGTAAGTGTGCAAAATGACATCCGTGGTCTTCTCAAGAAATATAGTAAACGCAAAAGTTCTGTGGTTGTGTGCACACCACTTTTGACACCGCATATACATTCTTGTGAGAATATATTAGGTATGACTGGTGAGACTGTACAAAATAACCAGTAAACATAAACTAATAAAGAACCTTAAGGATTGTTTTCATGTTCCAAACTAGAATATGCCAAAAGATTGCAAAACAAAGTTGTTTTGTAGCAAATCGATTGTATAGAACTACAAATGAATCTTACCAAAATAATGAAAGCATCTCTTGCATAGTCATCATTCCAACAGCTTCATCTTCAAATATTCACTCATTCAGTTCTTTCATTAGCATGCAGCTTTTTTGAAGTGTACATAGATGTCAATACAACACACTAAGCTAAAGAAAGCCACACTGGGCAACCATCTTCGATTGAGCGGCAGATCCCGAAAGCGAAGTTTTCATGGGAAAGTAAATAACGTGCTCCATATCGAAAACTTTCAAGTTTTCGTTCATACGCGTCGTATTCACTGTGATGGTTCCGATGCAGCTATGCCGAAACTGTACATCCACAAAAGCGCACAATGTGGCAAACAAACGGAACGAATAACCTTAATGTCGACGCAGATATTCTACGTGAACTGCTGTGTCTCTGCATTACCATCGTTTCAAGAATTATTTCAATGTCAGTTTACTTGAGTGGTTGGACGAAGCCTGGACCACTGTGGAGTGACGGGCCTATACAACGAGAAATTTGTAAGGTGCCTAGTTGGGTCCATTCTTTTTTCATTTTCGCTGCTTTAAAAAATAACTGTTAAAACGTAAAAATTAACAAAGCGTTTGTCGTGTTCGCATGCTTGCTCGAAAGTTCACGTTTCGTGTGTGCTATAGAGTTGTCCAAAACGTCAGGCTTTCTAGAACATCTTGGGCAAGGTAGGCCTACTTTTCGAAGTTTGCATGTACAATATACACAGATATTATGATGTGTGGATGAACATAAAACGCTTAACTCAGTATAACTGCTGATGACTGGTATTATGCAGATACCTGTGCAACACAGAAGTTGATAGCATTCGCAGTGTTACCATTCAGCACAGCTATAAGTAGGGCAGCTTCTCATAAAAGAGGTCCAAGAAATATACGACAGTGCTAAATGATCAGTCACGGCAATAAGGAAAGCATGCTCAGAATACTGGTGGAAGAATGCATGTGATCAACAGAACCATGATCATCGGTCTTAGGTAAGCATATATAATAAATGTTGACAGTTTTATGAGGAAAAAAATGTAGATGGTTAACAGAGAGACAGCTACGATACTGAACTGAATACAATGCAGTTGCGGTCACTGTAAGGAATCGGGGTGGGCTGTCCCTTGTTTCCACCCCATTTCGAAGGAGAAGCCAACAAAAGGTATAATCTGCATCCGCGTTCATGCCTGCAGTATTCCGACACTCAGCGACTCATGCATGCTTATTCATCACCCTTAGTTTCACAGCCGCAAAAAGCAAGGCACATGTTTATGGTGGAAGTTGCAACTTCTGGTAATTAGTGTTAACCTATGTCTTTCGTTAGTATCAGCTATTTAGTAGGCTCTATATAAGCAATGATAATGCTGATGCAACCTGAGGTCGCTTATGCCCATGCTTGTGCGCATGCGCCCTGCGGCGCGGCGGCCTGGTGCAGTAGACGTGGAAATGGATGCTGGCGGCTTTCGCGCTCTTCGGCCTGGATGCCTGTTGCCGCCTCTACAGGCGACGCTCGGCCGCCAAACTTGAAGCGGTCCAGCTGCACGGTGCCCCTCCAACATTCAAGACCGATGCGTGTGCATCGGCAACAACGGCGCCTAGCCTTGTACCTGCTTCTATCGAAGACCCGTACCGCGATTCAGTCGTCGAACTGCGGCTAGCCAAGAAAGGGATGATCGCCAGGCCGGGACAGGTGTGCTACATTTTTAATTCTTCTATGGGGGGACGGAAAAGCCCTGTAAAACATATCCATGGTGAGGGGCCATGGTTCTTTACGCGTGCATTATTTTATTTTTATATCATTTGTCATAAGATGAGACGTGGCTGAGCACTCGCTATGCGGCCGCTATAACTACGAGTTGCAGAGCAGTCATGTCACAGGAAGGAGACAAAAATGAAAGGTAACCTTAGATAGCATGCCTCTGAAGATATGCAAGTTCTGTTCAGCATTGTTTATTGGTACTGCAGATAATAGGTTCATGAAAAACCCGGCTGTATTAGTGCCACTGCATGGGGGTGGGATGCGCCTGTCAGGACAAGAATTTCAAGTAGCTACCTGAAAATGTATGTGTTGTGTCAGTTTATATATATATATATATATATATATATATATATATATATATATATATATATACATATATATATATATATATATATATATTGTGAAGAATAAAACGCATCGTTGGCAAGCAACATCGCCACCTCTTGGGTACTGGGTGCTGGGCTTCTCTCGCTCGGCCCGTGCTGATCATCGCCGGCATCTGCTTGACCGTTACTCTTTCCCGATCGTGTTTCATCATAGGACTACCGTCGCAACAGTCACCAATAAACCCTTTTTCAATATATAAATTTATATATATATTTACACACACACACACACACACATATGTGTGTGTGTGTGTGTGTGAATGACTGTCTGTTATGAAGAAGGATCCCCTCGATGTGTTTTGAATCGGCTATAAACTTCCCAGTCACACTGGAAAAAGATCGTCGCCTTCCATTCCTTGACGTGTTGGTACAGCGTAATGGGACTGGACTTCGCTTGAGCGTGTATCAAAAGAATGCTATACACACACAGGATGCTACCTCAATTTCAGTTCAATTTATCCTGCTTGACAGAAATATTCTGCTGCCTCCTCACTCGTACAACACGTGCAACAAAGAGACCCGGAATTTCTGCGGGCAGAACTTTCAAGCAACAGCTACCCTGCTTCATTTGTGATTTCAGTGCAGAGGCATTGACCTCATCCGCCTAATAATGCCTTCTTCGTTGCCTGCTCCCTTTTAATGTGCCGCTGTACCCTATGATACGGGAACCGTTGAAGCCTCAGCGAGCGCACTCTACTCATTTAACGTACGCGTATGGAATGTATCATTAAAAAGAAAAACTGGAAAGTGTGCTCACAAACGTGAAGGACAAAATACCTAAAGAAAATTCTCTGGTGTCGTATATGATGTCGCCTGTGTGGACTGTAAGCATGGGTATATCGGCTAAACAGGGGATTTCCAAAGACTCCTGAAAAAACACTCTTACCACGCTAAAAAAAAAAAAGAGTGCCTTCAAATGCACTCGTTGAGCATTCTGTATCAATGGGACACAATATTGACTCGGAAAATGCGAATGTTCTACTTACTGAACGAAATCTATTTTTGCGACTTTATCTCGAGTCATTAATAATAGAAACCACTGATACCACGCTAAATCGCAAATATGGCACAACTCCTTCGCTTTACGCAGGCTGTCCATGCCATCTATTTTGACATACATTGTAAACCCTCAATTTTTTATTGCTTTATTTAGTGAACAGACCGCCGCCCGTGCACCAAAACAACTTTGTTTTTCTCAAGTGTTTTTTTGGTTGGGTCCTACTTTAAACCTTTCACCATGATTACTCACGACCAGATGAGGTTTCATCAAACCCTTGATTTCATCATTTATCTTTGGTGGTACCCAAACATCAGAGGTTTTTTGGTGGTTTGACAAAAAACTCAAGACATGGCGCAAAGGTACTGCTGGCGCCCTTTATGTTTACCGTCGTGCCAGGTGCATGGGTATGGGAGCCAGCGCGCCCACACTTCAGCTGTTCTTGCTGTACGGTTCGATGTCGACCGAAAACTGAAGTCAGACTAGCGATAGGGAAGACGATACAAGCACGGTCTTTTTGATTTATTGCATTTTACTCTGAAACGAATAATAATTTTAAGACTTACCTTTATGCTCTTGAGTTACTCAGCAATGCATTGTCATCAGCGAAGCGAAGGTTACTAAAGTACTCTTCATTACCTCTTATCCCTAACTCTTCTCATTCTAGGCCTCTGAAAAGCTCCTGTAAGCACATGGTAAATAGCTTTGACAAGATTGTATCTTTTGGTCTGTACAACAAGTATAATGTACAAGAGCCTCGAAGAGAACAGCACTATAAAATAAGTAATAATAATAATAATAATAAAAATAATAATAATAATAATATTAATAATAATAATATCTTTTATTAATAATAGTGCAGTTGAAGCTGTAAAAGACTATGTCTACTTAGGACAGCTAATAACCACGGAGCCGAAGCATGAGATTGAAGTAACTAGAAGAATAGGAATGGTCTGGAGCACATTCGGCAAGCACTCTCAAATCATATGACTAGTATGTTGCCACTATTTCTCAAGAGGATGGTATATAACAGCAGCATCTCGCCGGTACTTACCTACGGAGCAGAAACCTGGAGGCTTACAAAGAGGGTTCAGCTTAAATGGAGGACCACCAAGCTAGTGATGGAAAGGAAAATGGTAGGTGTAACCTTAAGAGACAAAAATAGAGCAGAGTCTATTGGGGACAAAACCGGAATTAAGAACATCATAGTTGAAATCAAGAAGAAGGAATGGACATGGGCCGAGCAACCACTGGTCAATAAGAATAACTGACTGCATTCCCAGAGAAGGCAAGCAAGTAAGGGGGCGACAGAAAGTTAGGTGGGCAAATGACATTACCAAGTTTGTGGGTATCAAGTGGCAGAAGCAAGCACAGGACCGGGTTGACTGGGGGAACCTAGGAGAGGTATTGTCCTTTAGTGGACATAGTCAGGCTGATAATCATGATGAGGATGATAATGACTCTAAAATGCGTGAAATTTTTGTTGACGCCATTAACTTTTGCGTGAAATTATTCCACTTTGCAGTACGTCCTGCTCAACTGTCCGAAAATATCATTGATGGAGTGGCATCCTTTCACAGTAACATCCGTAAGTAACCACTTCACCGTATTGCTTTTTTTCCCGCTGTGGTGTTGCATCGCGGAATGTAACACTACACAGCAGAAAAAAAATTGTCCGCATAATATACTTGAGTACAATCATTGTTTTTGCTTACTGAAGAAAATAAAACAATTGGAAATTTTAAAGTACTTATCAGCTATTTAAAGTTCCAGACTCAAAAGAAATATGCATTATTTTAATGAATGCTTGAGTTCGCACAAGTTAATAGCTTTTTATAGTAACAAACTTACTTGTATATGTCATAAGAAAGTTGACTTTTTAATCATTTGAAGAAATTCATAAATGTCGACATTGTTGTGTGTTTTTGCGCAAAAGATACTGGTCTTTGTAGCTTGCACAACACGAAAATCATGAAGCCTGATTCAGTCAAACATAAAAGCATCTGGTTTAAACCCGACTGGCAGAACTTTTTAAAAGCTAAGGGCTATCAGAGCAACTGTGTAATTCGGAAGTTGCAATTTCTTTTTGATACGGGAGTCAATAACACTCTTCTTTATAATGAAATATGCTCTGTATACGATGGCCTAATTGTCATAATAGGGGCATGTGATGTGGATGAATAAAATATTTTATTTGCATATCAAAAATTTTTCTTCCGTATTTCACGACAATTTAATGTAGGATAACAATGAGACGAGTACTGAGGTAGCTGTTTTGGCCCGTTACTTGCATAATGTTGTGTTAACAGTAACCAAGATGATAAAAATAACAAGTCTTTTGCAAATCCATGTGTGTCGATCAGTTGGCTATAATTGCTATAGTATTCGCAGCCTTTTTTTTTGTTTCTTTTTATATACTTTTGCAAGGACCTATACATTTGAATCTCAATAATTTGAGCTCGATGATCCCAGAAAGTTTGTTCGAAATAAAGAAAGTTGATTAAATTAAATAGCTTCGCCAAAACCACAGCGTCAGTTTGAATTAGCCGTGTTCAAATTGATAAGATTCCACACTGTCAGTCCAGGGCTTTTTCTGATGTTTCATCTGCAGGAATCAGCTTTTTGTAATTCATCTAAATTATGGGGCTGTAGTTAAATGCCATTTTATTATTTCTTTTTATGAATCTGAAGACAAATTGTAAACTACATCATCATATTCTTTCTCAAGACGAATAGGACATGAAGATGGTTTTGGCATAACTGGCTCGAGAAAACCTCCATTTATGCTGCTACAGTCATCGGGGTGACCACGCATTATATCAGCGAGTATGGCTGCTATGTAGTAATGTGAAATAGCTTTTGAAACATTTTTTTCTGTTGTTTTTTTTTTGTTGCAGTGTTCAAAAGGTGGGGACAACACATTCACGCTACACTTGACTACAAGTGGCGACTGGACAGGTTAGTTTGTATTGAAAAACTTCTCAATTGGCTGTTATGCTCTTTGCAACCAAGTCATGTGAACTCAATGTTTGCTTAGTCATTAAGGTACGCTCATTTTGAAAGAAGAGGCAAACGATTGCATGAATAAAGGAGAGATTGAAGAATGACATGGATTTAATGTAGCATAGTTCAATTATAATAAGTTAAGCTATTCTTTAATAACTTATTAGGTGTTGCAGGACTAACGACAATATTTACATTTTAGTTTATTTTTATAGTATAAAAAACTACATCGCATGCAATACTTGTCTCCACGCACTAATCATAAATGGTGCAATCAGCAGTTGGTACGAATACACCTACGTTCGTACGTGTAGATTCAGGTATATAGTTTGACACCAATGTCCCAGCAGTGGAAAGACGTCGTTCAATATCTCCAGAAGAAATTACACAGGTCTGTTGGAAAGTACAGGTCAATATAAAGCGATGTGTGATTGCCTAATATCGTAAAAAGCCGCCGTCCACTAAGATAAAAAGATCTAAATCTGTCACGTCGTGCAGTTGACGCTACATATATGTACAAATGTTGCGCGGACAGACATATGTAAGAGTTCCAGGTGTTTATGTAACCAGTTGTTTGCACTCGCACAACTATGCCAACTGGAACATGCGTATTAGCAAAGCTAATATGAAGCGCTGATGCTTGCGAAGATGCTGGCCCTGGACACTGCTACAAAAATAACTTCAGAGCATGGCAACTAACCACCATTGACGTTCACCCGACGTGAGGGCTGCATCAAAAGAGTACATATGAAATGTTTATAAAATTAGGTAGGCATAAGTGCAACCCCTGTTAACATTTCAAGAAGATTAGCATCTATTTGAAAAGCAGTTCCAAAAGCTAGTGTAACTCTGTGGTAAAATGCTCCATTGCCACGTAGAATGCTTGGGTACGATTCCAGTTGTGACCCTGATATTCATTCTTTGCATTCGTCGGGTCGACACTGCCGATGTCAAGTATTTCTTAACACTTTAGCGCTAAAAGTGGGCATGTGTGTTCTCATCGTTCATGGGTAGATACTAAGTGTCGATACCCTGTGACACACAAAAAAGAAAAAAATCCAGAAAAATACTCTTGAAGGCGGAATCGAACGTCTGACCCTCGTGCATGAGCGTATGGCATTAGCCACTGAGCAACGAGGAACACCTTTTTTACCGTTGAATTGGCAAGCAATTTGTCTCTACCACTTGCCACTGACGGTACCAATCTCAGGGAAGATAGCTTGTTTCCAGCATTACCAGTGAGATGGCACAAAGAGCTCGCTCGGTTCCCAGCTCGTCCCGTGCCGACGCGAGCTCATTTGCCACGCGTAGTTGGCCCCTCGGAGGGGGCAAGGGATAGATGATTGTAGACCACGCGCGCTCATCCTTTGGTGGGGGGGAGGGGAATCGTGCCCTTCTTCTTTCACTGAAACAGTTGCATTGTAGTTGCCGGGGCCGCAAAGATCACTTTGTCATTTCGCTCGCTGCACAGGCCCCGTTTGCGAACAGAACGTGCTTTCATAAACAGTGAAGTAACAACTGGAACACTTGTTTGCACTCATCTGCACCTGAGACTACGTTTCGTTCGTCGTTTTCGTTTAAACAGCGCGTCAAGTGCTGAGCCATAAATGCTTTTAGTTCGCTCTCGTCCTGTGTGTGTTGTTTTCGGGCGTCATTTGTGCGTCAGCAGGGCGCTGCACATTTCAATCTGCTTGCCATTCTCCGCGTTAAATTCCAAATTGTTGCTATTGTGTTCATTGCTTTGCCCTTGTGGCGAAACTTACTTTTTGCTTGTCATGTACAGAGTGATGCCGTGATGAGCTGTCATTTATTATGGCTCTGCAGTGGTGCTGCTGAAATACGCTGCATTCATAAGTCTGTGATTGTGCTATGAAAATACAATAGATTGGTGAGTGTTGAATAGCGCGCGCTGGGTAGTGTGCATGGTAGCGTGCATTGTTTGTGTCTGAAAGCAGTGCATCATTAGTGAGTGAGTGGAAGGTGGTGTGTCCGCTTTTTATTCACGTTTTGCTACAACATGCCTAGAAAGTTTCCATGTACCGTGCAAATGGTGTAATTATTTACAACACGAAAATGCTACTGCCTTTTTTTGTTCCACTGCATTTACGTCATAGGTGTAGTCAGTCTGAAAGGCACTATCTAAACAAACGGCAAATATATTTTTTAGGCATTGCTTAATGGCATGCACATTTTTCCCATTTCTGAAGCAAACAAATTCCAGCGCACATTCACTTGTATTGGTAGCAGAGCTGTCCAAGTTGCATACGTCAAACTTATTTTTATCTCGTTTTCTTTTTAGGTGTACTACGAACAAAGCTTGTCACTCCAAATGTTTCTAAGAAAAGTGACAAGCCAGTGTACCCAAAGTAAGTCTTGCATCACTGCTTTCCGTAAAGGTATCATTGACTTAATCAAAGATTTTCGCTAAAGCACATTAGGTACATACAATTTAAACGAGTTATTTGTAGGAGTTCGTGACTCCAGTATTCTAAAGATAAGGAAGTAAGCGTACAAAAAGAGAGAAGGTAAGGAGGTTAACCAGAGAGACTTCTGGTTCGCTACCCTAATCTGTAAGATCAGAGAAGGGGGATAGAAAGATGAGAAACAGACTGGAGGGAAGCAAATAAAAAACGGTAGCGTTTTTCTCTGCAGCGTTTCGGAATGCCTCCTGAAGAGTGTACACAGTGATCTAATGATTAGAGTACGCACTTTAGTACCGTGTGTACAGTATTATTTGTGAAATATAATACATTGTTCTTAGGGCAACCTGAAACTCATTTCTTCTCCTGTAGACATAGCCACTTTATGATCATGTAATATTGCCGTACTTTTATTTTAAAGAATGTTTAAAATATGTACCATTGAAAAAAGCATCCCACATTCTTTACGTTGTGCCTCTTGAATGTTGCAGATTGTACGTGGACGGCCCTTTCTGTAGCAGGTCTGAGCGGATAGGACGCAGTGCCATCACTATTTGCATAGCCGGTGGCATTGGCATTACACCATTTGTTTCGTTCTTCAATCACATAATGTGAGTCATTCAATTATAGTTGTAATATAATTTCCCGTGAAATTTATAACAACATGCTTTATTCAAATCACACAAACAGTATTGTATTTAGTGTTTTGAGTAAAAAGCTTTAAAAAAAACACCCTCTGATGCATGCCTGTGGCCCGTTCTTAGAGAAATGAAAATATATGTATAGGGTCTGCTGCAATATAGCGATTATAACTTCATGCATTTTAGATGCACTGCATGAGTAATATTATACTATAACGGAAAATAAACTTCCAGAAGAACAGATCTCTCAGATATGAAACTTAAACTGATTGAATGCAAGGCAGCTGGTCCATAATAATAGTTCAATACAGCGTGACATAACGACAGATAATGATGCACACAGGGCATGTGCCGGCGGCCAACTGGTTACAATATTGTAGAAAAATCGGAAATATATACGAAACAGTACACACGCGTGAGGGGAACATTCAAGGGGAACATTCAAGGGAATCTAGCGGTGCGTGCGTCCAGCCGCTGATTATGAAAAAAAAAAAGGATGAGCCTTCGCTCAAAAGACATAGCTTGAATTTCTTCCTGATGGGCTACGCAACATAACGCTTTTTCGTATAGTCAGGAATCAATCTATGTCTGTATGCAAGGCTGCCCATGAACTTACTATGTGCAGCATAAATTTCAAACTGTCTTTGAAGAAGCGATCAACAGTTCGCATGCTTTCTTTTCCGCAACGCGGCCATAACTACGCATCAGGATGAAGCTCTGGAGCAGCGGGTAGCCACAGGTATTGCTTTATTTGATGTCAGGGACAATACCGAACGATTCCGAAGGTCTCGTGCCACGTCGTTTGTAGAACCTCGGCCACTCACAAGGTGCTGCCACATGTCCGCGGCACGCATGACTGAACCAGAATTAGCCACCAGTACAATCGTACAAAAAAAGGAAGAGGAAATTGAGTATCGTGACGTGGAGGACGTGTTTGTTGGTAAATAGATCGATGCCTTGCCACATCAAGTGGGTATGCCTAATTATGGTCAGCCTTTAACCTTCAACACAAAATGTGATGCGCCCAATCAGCTGCAGTCCCTGCGAGTTCTTCGCGCTGAATCAAAGCTTGTCCGCTAGGTGATGAAACGGGCTGGAATTTCAGAGGCACTTTATACATATATGAAAGCTATTCAAATCAAAAAAGCAATATTTCAATCTGTCGCCACAATGGCATTTATGCATAATGATTAATATTATTTACACCACTAAACATTTAAAGTGTAAATGCATACCATCTAAATTTGAGAGCTGTGTAACTTCCAAGTTAGCAAAACTGGCCATTTCGAAGGTCTCAGCTGTGAATGCATTGGAATATTATACCCGCAGTCTTTTCATATCCTCTATAGCGTCTTCTGGAGACACTGCGAAATCAGGGCATAGACAAAACGCATATAAAGATCCTGGAAGAAACGGACAGAGAATAAACTGCCACCATATTGCTTCATAAAGAGAGCGACATAATACCAATAAAGAAAGGTGTAAGACAAGTGGCGATGGCGTATGCGGCGATGGCGTAGTGGTTAGAGCATCCGCCTCGCATGCAAGAGGTCCGTCGTTCAAATCCCGGTGCCGCGCAGTTCTCAACCAGATTAAAAAAAGAAAAATCCGCTTGTTGATGGAACTGCATTAAGAGGCCTGGGGTGCGGCCTCACCGGTAACCACCGCCGGGAACGCACACCCTCACCAGAGAAGGATTGGCCACCCTGGTGCAGTATCTGGCCACTACCTCCCACATGCACACGTCAAATAACTCACGGCCCTCAGTCCCCAGCAGCTGCGAAGCAACTGACCACGGCGGCCGTCAGATCTGCAACGCAGCAGAGGGTGCTAAGAATCTCTGGATCCGGACAGGCCGCCATTGGAACCTGAACTTGGCAACGTTTAATGCTAGAACCTTATCTAGTGAGGGAAGTCTATCTGTACTATTCGAGGAGCTAGAGGGTGTTAAATGGGATATAATAGGGCTCAGTGAGGTCAGAAGGACAGATGAGGCCTATACTGTGCTACAGAATGGGCACGTCCTTTGCTATCGGGGCTTGGCAGACAGAAGGGAACTGGGAGTGGGGTTCCTAATTCACAGAAACATAGCTGGTAACATAGAGGAATACTATAGCATTAATGAAAGGGTGGTAGGTATTGAACTGAATAAAAGATACAAGATGAAGGTATTACAGGCTTATGCGCCTACATCCAGCCATGATGACGCTTCAGTTGAAAGCTTCTATGAAAACGTGGAATTGGCAATGAGTAAAGTAAAAACACAGTATACTATAGTGATGGGCGACTTTAATGCAAAGGTAGGGAAGAAGCAGGCTGGAGACCAGGCAGTAGGAGATTATGGCATCGGCACTAGAAATGCCAGAGGAGAGCTACTAGTCGAATTCGCAGAACGCAATAATTTGCAGATTTTGAATACCTTCTACCGAAAACGAGAAAACCGCAAGTGAACATGGAGGAGCCCTAATGGCGAAAATAAGAACGAAATAGACTTTATAATGACTGCACACCCAGGAATCGTGCAGGATGTGGAAGTGGTTGGCAAGGTACGATGCAGTGACCATAGAATGGTACGGTCTCGAATTCGCCTAGACTTGAAGAAGGAACGACAGAAATTGATACGCAAGAAGCCAATCAATGAGCTAGCACTGAGAGGGAAAGTACAGGAATTCAGAGTGTCGCTGCAGAACAGGTACTCTGCTCTTAGTGAGGAAACCAACCTTAGCGTAGATACAATGAATGATAATCTGACGAGTATCATTACGGAGTGTGCAGTGGAAGTTGGAGGCAGGGTAGTTAGACAGTACACTGGCAAGCTTTCCCAGGAAACGAAGAACCTAATTAAAAAGCGTCAAATCATGAAAGTGTCAAGTACAACAGACAAAATAGAACTGGCAGAGCTTTCGAAGTTGATTAATAGACGTAAAGTATGCGATGTAAGAAGGTATAACATGGAGAGAATTGAACACGCTCTGAAAAACGGAAGAAGCGTCAAAGCAGTGAAGAGGAAACTTGGGATAGGCAAAAGTCGGATGTATGCACTAAGGGACAAAGAAGGCAAAATAACTACCAATATGGATAGGATAGTTAAAATAGCGGAGGAGTTTTACAGAGATCTCTACAGTAGCCGAGACAACCACGACCTTAATACTATAAGAACTAGCAGTAACCCAGATGACACCCCACCAGTAATGATAGAAGAAGTCAGAAAAGCTTTGGAGAGCATGCAAAGAGGCAAAGCTGCTGGTGAGGATCAGGTGACATCAGACCTGCTGAAAGATGGAGGACAGATTGTGTTAGAAAAACTAGCCACCCTGTTTACGAGGTGTCTCCTGACGGGAAGGGTACCAGAGTCTTGGAAGAACGCTAGCATCATCTTAATACATCAGAAAGGAGATGACAAGAACTTGAAGAAGTACAGGCCGATCAGCTTGCTCTCTGTAGTATACAAGCTATTTACAAAGGTAATTGCTAACAGAGTAAAGAAAACATTAGAATTCAATCAACCAAAGGAACAAGCAGGATTTAGAACAGGCTACTCAACAATTGACCACATTCATACTATTAATCAGGTGATAGAGAAATGCTCAGAGTATAACCAACCACTATACATAGCCTTCATAGAATACGAGAAGGCGTTTGATTCAGTAGAAATATCAGCCGTCATGGAGACACTGGGGAATCAGGACGTAGATGAAATATATATAAACATTCTGGAAGAAATCTACATGGGATCAACTGCTAACATAGTGATTCATAAAGAAAGCAACAGAATACCAATCAAGAAGGGTGTAAAGCAGGGCGACACAATCTCCCCAATGCTATTTACCGCGTGCTTACAGGAGGTTTTCAGAAGCCTAGATTGGGAACAGTTAGGGATAAGAGTTAATGGAGAATACCTTAGTAACCTGCGCTTCGCTGATGACATTGCATTACTGAGTAACTCAGGAATTGCAATTCACGGTTACTGAATCAGACATGGACAACAAAAAGGTAGGTCTTCAAATCAATTTGCAGAAAACAATAGTAATGCACAAGAACCTCAGAAGAGAACAGCGCTTCGAGTTAAGTAGCAGTGCGCTTTAAGTTGTTAAAGAGTGCGTCTACTTAGGACAGGTAGTAACCGCGGAGCCCGATCCACGAGACTGAACTATCTTAAAGAATAACAATAAGGTGAGGCCCATTTGGCAAGCATTCTGGAATCATGAGTGATAGATTGCCACTATCCCTCAAGAGGCAGGTATATAACAGTGGCATCTTGCCAGTACTTACCTACAAACAGAAGCCTGGAGGCTTATAAAGAAGGTTCAGCTTAAGTTGAGGATGATGCAGCGAGCGATGGAAAGGAAAACGATATGTGTAACATTAAGAGACAAGAAGAGAGAAAAGTCGGTCAGGGAACAAACTGGGGTGAAAGATATCACAGTTGAAATAAAAATAAATGAATGGACATGGGCCGGACACGTAGCACGTAGGCAGGATAACCACTGGTCATTAAAGGTAACTGACTGTATTTCCAGAGAAGGCAAATGCACGAAGGGGAGACAGAAGGTTAGGTGGGCTGATGAGATTAAAAAGTTTGCGGATATAACGTGGAACGAAAAGCACAAGTCAGATTTGACTGGCAGAACATATACTGCAGTGGGCGTGGTCAGGCTGACAATGATGATGAGCATCAAGCGACACATTGTGGCTAATTTTCAGTCCTTGGTACTGTGGTTATATAGTTGACAAATTTTAAATGTTTCTTGGGAATCGACATTCGTGAAGAAGTGAAATCTACTATTCGGGGCGTTTTATGGCAACTTAAAAAAGTGCTGCTGCACCACCTTGTGAGGTCTTGAAATGGAGAACCCTATGTTCTTGAGTAAACGAACACAACAGACGCAGTCAAAACGAACCAAACAACACACATTTATTTACCTACTTTTAGATGCACGATATCGTCAGCCGAATCAATATATATGAATTGTGATCAACACGCTCAGACAACCTTACACAGTATTACACTACACTCAACAACATTACAAAAAAAAGAACACACACAAGGCAGTGTTGCCAACGATTGACTGACCACGAGGGCCCCCGGCAGATGAGTCGCAGTGCCGTACTCTGCGGGCCCACGCCAGAGACCACCGTTTGCACCAACGACCACCCGCCAAAGAGAGCCGCTTGTCTGTCATCTGCTGTCACCCAGGCCTGCCCCCAGGCGTCACCACCAGCGCTATGGTTCTAACCATGATGTTGATGATGAACGCTGGCGAGCACAACGCCACCTACCACTCAATAGTTGTGAACTTTGAATGCGGCCTATGCGCAAGACACGTGCACCACTAGGTGGACACAACTTTACAGGGCATGTTGCACCCTCGCAGCATAAACAGTAAATTTTTCGTATTCCTAGAGGTGGACTAGTCATTGAGCACAGCGCTTGGCTCATGGAGAACATAACAAACAAGCAAATGGCTTTGTTAAGTTTCCTTGTCCCCCTCCCCATTTTTTTCGTTTTGTCACAACAGCCACCTTGTATTCTGCTCATATTGAGGTTAATTCTTCGAATTTCTTATTTATGCCTTTTTCATTTATGCCTTACTTATTTACCAAATATAAAATACACGTCAAGAAGCTTTCTTTCAACTTAGTACATGCTGAAATCATGAAACCAAATAGAAGAAGCAAAAAGGGAGAACATGGTGAAAAAATTGAAGAACTTGTAGAACTGCTTGCAAAATTCAGCGCAAACAAGACAGATCAGGTAAGAAGGACCCTGTACGAGCACTGAATTTTATAAACATGTGTCTTTTTCCACTCGTGCATCTCTCTACTTTACTGCTAGTTGTACAACAGGTTAAAAGAATCAGTACTATTGAAAAAACAATTAGGCTACATACTAATTAAGATGATTAAATACACTTTTTTGAAAAAGTGTACAGATTTCTATTTATAGTTTCAAACATGAAAAGGCAAAAAAGCACAAGTGACAACATGAGATGATACAATCTATCAAGGCAGTATCAATAATGTTGTTTATGCAAAAAGAAGCATGTATTTTTTGAAGTCAGAAAAGCTACATTCAGGCAAAGCATTTGAAGGCTGTGCATTCTTCCATTCACCAATAGTTGGCGGAAAGAAGGAGTGCTTTGAAGATATGGGCGAAGTAGCGCGTCAAATAATCTATGTGACTATGTCTCTGCCGGGAACAAAAGGGAGAGGGGTACCAAGGTCGAAATGGAAGTGCCGACTACTCAGCTGAAAAAGAAACTTGTCTCAGCCGATAGCTCTATGCTGTTTCAAGTGTGTATTACAAGTGTAGCAAAGTGGGCTTGTTGGTGCATTCTGAAAAAAAAAAAAAAAAAAAAAACTTTACCTATAGTGCCGGTAAACACATGGACAGCAAAGATGATACGCTGGAAGAGCGAACATATGTCCACTGTCTGCTCCCTATTGCCTGTGTCTTTACCAGTGCTAAGAAAATGCCTTTTCAAAAGTAGAACATATTTAGCAGACATCAGTGATAAAGGTGTTTAAAACTTGTGATAGGTAATATAGATACGAATATTACCGCTTTCTTTGCGTCATTTCTAGTTCTGAGCAATATTTTCTTTCAACATGGCTCCCATGCACCGCATCCGTGGTCTAGACGGGGTCGAATAAAAGCGTTATATGAAAGAAGTTCGACTTGAGATGGCGCCCCCTTTGGTTTGTGTCTAAAGAAATCGTAGTTTTGTAGAGGCAGAGAATGAAACATTCTCAATATGGTTTCTTCATGTTAGTCGGCTGGTCAACTTGCCTCCCAAGTGTCTCAAATTGTCGAGGATATTCACAGGTCTTGTTGTTCATTGTTGTTGACAAAATTGTTGATAAGCTTATATGGCCGCCTAAGAGCGAGACAACCAAATGGCGTGGAGGAGCTTAACATGAGCGTGGTTGGTACTTCGGTGTTCTATACCATTTATTCATCCCTGTGTTCACCGCTATATTAGTCTTGTACCATTTGCAAAATGGGACTCCAACATGTGCCCTTTCGCTGGAGATGTATATTCACATGGGCTCAGAAAGCACATTGCTTTTGAGAATGAATAAAGAGTCGGCACTTGTGTGAAAGGCTATATGGTTCTCAGTATTTATTTATGTACCCGAAAAGGCCGAGGGCATTACATAGGGGGTTGTAGCATACATACAACTGGCATGAAGAACAAAGCAATAAACGGTTCGAAATTCAGATGAACAGACAAACAAACAACTAGAGTTGTATCAATAATAAAATAGAAAATCTGAGAAAAGTAATCATAAGGACAAACTTCACTAAAAAGGAAATATAACTCAAGAAGAAACAAACCTTGAATTTTTTCTCCCAAACCGTATTCAAGTGATTGAGTTATACAGCGGGTTAGATAAAACGCTACTTGAGCACATGTAAATCGGAGACAGTTCGATAAAGTCGCTCAAACACCAAGATGAAGCTTTTATTTGTAAGTGATTTATTTGTGGTTCTTTATACAAACTATATCATTAGGCAGTTCATTCCAATGATTAACAGCAAGAAGTAACGGGGAATATAAAAAAAATCCTAGTTTCACCGCAAGGTTGAACAACGAATGCGATAACAACAACTTGGACTGTAACGCTGAGAACGGCAAACAGATCTAAACGTACAGCGCGCTGCGCACACACAAATGACACACGAAAACAACACACACAAGACGAGAGCGAACTCGGAAGGTTTGCCGCTTAACGCGCTGTTCAAATAAAAAAGACGCATGAAATGTAATTACACGTACAGATGAGTGCAAACTAACATCTGTTCCAGTTGTTACTTCGCTGTGTTTGAAAAGTGCACTCTTTTCGCAAAGGGCGCCTGTTCAGCCAGCAAAGTTATCTTTGCACGCCCGGCCACTAAACGCAATTGTTACCGTCAAAGTCGAAGGTGCATGATTCTCCCTACTGAAGGATGAGTGGGAGCGCACAAGCATCTAATTCCCCCCCCTCCACACACACACACATTTGCGGGGTAAAGTACGCATGGGAGATAAGCATGCATCAGCGCTTTGCGACGAGCTTGGGGTGGGGCACGGGTGACTTTCTTTCTTGAGTTTTCATATATATAGATACCTATACATATACAGTGCATGACGCCGACGTCGGCCACAAAATTGTTCATTTAATTGCTATTCCAAGAACACAGGTTTGTTTAGGCAGATAAAGGTACTAAATAAAATTCACGGTACAGGCGAGAAAATATTCAATGGGCAGATATAACGAGTGCAGAGAGCCACGAATCATTATGATAAAGATTGTGAAAATGAGACAGAAGGGAGAAAGTCTGTGGGACTTAAAACACGGAAATTTTATACTTGTTTTGTTTCATTTATGCTAAAAGTTGGAGAGTAATTCTTTGTTATGAGACAGGCTCTTTGTTTTGAAGAAACTAATTTATTTATAAAAGAAGTCTTGTAGGAGCTCCATATTTTGGAAGCATAGTCAAGTTTGGAGTGAACTAGAGTATTTTAAGTTGAATGTTCTTTAGCACCAATAGCAAAATGTAAGTTACGTCTGATGAATTCGAGTGTTTTATAAGAGCTTCTCGTGACAGCGACAATGTGTGGGTTCCATGATAAGTGACTTGCCAAATGAACTCCCAAACACATAAAATTTTAAGCATTCTCTGGCTGGTTTCTCCTTCAACATGTAGTGATTAGTTAGTGGGTTTAGTTTTGTAACTTAAAAAAGTTATTTCCCTCTCTCAATTTAGTTTTTTAGCGAATGAAATAACCTTTGTCTTGTTCACGTTGACTTCTATCTGCCAGTCCTGACACGATTTGCTTAATATATTAAGATCAATCTGCAACTTATTAGCATCTCCACTATCGGGCACCCTTTTATTTATCATGGTCTTCGGTGAATATGTTCATGGGGGAAGTGATGAAACTGCGTATATCATTGAAGAAATAGCATTGGTCCCAGCACAGATTCTTGAGGCACTCCTGATCTGACGAGTGCTAAGGAGGAGTGCTTGTCGTTAACTAAAACAAATTGGTGCTGCATAGTTAGGAATTCCAATATACAAATAACTAAGTTAAGGCTGCTAAGCTTCTTCATTAGTCTGGTGTGAGGGAAATTCTCAGAAAGTTTTTAAACTCAACAAAAAACGGCGTCGATCTCGCATATGAAAATGTCAAATCGATTTTGTTTTTGTCAGTTTTGCTGTAAATGATATATCATGCACATCAATATAGATGTTAGTTAATAATTAGATGTTAGAAGTTAATATTATAGAGTTAGCAAACCATTTACTGACTTTGCAAAAACATGGTTCTTCACAACAATTTTTTGCAGCTCTTCGAAGAACGTTTTGCGAGTTGAACGACTGCACTTAGTATGGGTCAGCAGAAGCATCAGCATGTTCGCAACATTTGCTGATCACCTGACCAACTTACACTATGAGGTACTGTGCGCCTTATTAACTCACCTGATGACCTCGCAGCTTGAATAGAGTGAGGTAAACATCACGTTCAAGAAAATGCTATGATTTTATTATACTCTAATATATTAATCCGTGATCTCTCTAGTACATGTGCTTGTAATTTTATCTTGAATAAATTGTAGAAAGATGAAGTAGATTTCTGTAGCCGTTTGCCTGCTGTAAGCATTCTTGAATGCCAGTCGTCCTACTGTCTTAATCAAAAGTGTTATATTTGTTTTAATTTATGGGGAGCTTTTGTAGCAGATTAGGTAGATTAGTTTAACCCGTGAGATTCCTTGTTTACATCAGTTATGTTTTTGTAACTGTACTTTTTTATAGTTTATAATGGGTACTTCTCGTCCATCACCTATCCTAGACATGTGTTCTTAAAAGTTATGATGCTTCATGGTGAGCATACTACAAGACTTCGCCCCATGTGTGAGCAGTTCGATGAGCTCATCAACAACCGGCATCTAAAATCAGTCACCTCATAATATATACACGCTTACAAGTCTCTAGTGTGACACCATAAAGCACACCAATGCTAAGACCACTCATGTTCTACACTCGTGAAAAGAAACTTTTAAAAACTGCACATGTGAATGTTTTAATAAATTTCGCAAAGATTTTCAAATGAATTTATGGGTGCTCATGATGATACTTTTGTTTCGTTAATATTTTTTTGCATGTTTCACTACTACGGTTATACTTATGAATGCCCTGAAATCTGGATCTTGAGTTTTAGTTTTTGAATCAATGAAACCATACAGATAAAAAGCAAACCAAGCAATATTTGATCATTAAAGGAAGCTGTTTTTAACCTGTGTGCGCTTGTAGGGCTCATACCGAACAACTATGATGTTGGGTAGTAAGCTGTAGCTATTTTCATTATTTGGGTTCTGATACCTAAAAAACCACATTTTGTTTGCATATTTTCTGCAGATGTGGCGACAAAACTTGCCCGATTTCTTCACTATGCACCTATATGTGACGCAAGGAAGCCCGCATGAAATTATTTCGGTAAGCACATGTCCTCTACAGTGTTCATATTCCTTTCCCTACAAGCAGCTCGATACTGAGCAGCGATACTAAATAGTGATATTTTGAGTACTCATTGACAATCACTTACATAACTGTAATACTGCATATAACATATTTTCTGCCATGACAATAAAAATACTTTATGTGCTAAGGGTAAATGCATGATTTCAATATGTCTATTACGTTTGCTCTTTACAGAGCAAAAGAAGCCTTAAAGCCGTGAAGGCAAATTTGTACATAAAATAAAACTAGATGTATGAAACAGCCAATATGAATAGTATAGTTCTGGTAGCGCAGGAGTTTTCCAGAGACTTGTAGGGCAGCCAAGACAACCAGGATAATATCCTAGAAAGCAGTAATAATCCAGAGAAATCTGACAACTTGCCTGTAAGGACAAGTGAACTAAAGAAAGCCCTAGAAAGAATGCAAAGAGGCAATGCCGCCAGAGAGAATAAGCCACGGAGCAAGCATTCTTGAGGAGGCGAAACTGCGCTCACTAGGGTGCGCTGAAAAAGCCACGAAATCAGGCACAGCTCTTACATGGCCTCTGTCGTGAAATTCTGCTAGTGTACCAGGGAAAACGTGCGCGCCGCTCTGATCACACTCTTGTTCAAGACCACTGCGCTCAAATTAGCTGTTCCTGCTTCAGGTCCAACTGGGCATGTTTCAGTGCATCCTCACCGGCTCCAAATTTTTAATGTGATAGCGTTAAATAGTTCGTTTTGGAGAAAGGCCAGCATAGGAGAAAGATTCAAATGTTTTCAGTTCTACAGGTATAGTCGCACCCCCGCATAGATGGTGGCATGCAGCTGTTTGACCACAGAGCTACAGCACTGCTGAAAACTGCTTCAAAAAACAAAAAAAGGCACAGCTTTACTGCAGAGGCGAAGCAATCAACGCGATAGCAACAAATTAGAAGGTCACACGCAGAATGGCAAGCAAATCAAAACGTGCCCCGCGTTTTTCTCGCACAAATTACGCACGAAACGTAATCAAAAGTGTAAATGAGCTCAGTTGTTACTTTGCTTTGTATGAAAAGTGCACCCTTTTCGCAAATGGAAGCTGTACAATGATTGCAGTGACTTTTGTGCGCCTTGTAACTACGACATTATCGTTCTAATGCAAGCCCAACGCCAGCCAAGACGTATAATTCTCCCCACGAGGAGATAAAGGTGCGCGAGAAATCGTACACTCTGCTCCTTTTAGTGAGCCAAAGTACACGTAAGAGATGAGAGCCGCCGCGCACTCATTCCGCCATATTGCTGATAATGCTGAAAACATGATAGTCCCCCACCCCACCGAGATGCCCGCCAACAGCAATAAGTGGTGCTTATAAATAGCATGCAGTTTAAAGTTGAAGGAGATATCCCTCGATGGTTCAGTGGTTAACGCCTCGCATTCTCGATGCGGAGGTCCCACGTTCTATTCCACGCGCCGGAAGCATTTTTCTGGATTTTTTTCTTTCTTATGTTTTCATATCTATAGATACGTACACATATACGGTGTATGACGCTGACGCCGGCGGTAAAACGCAGCCGAGAGTGTCCATGTAATGGCTATTGCAATGAAATCTATATGAATGTCATCAGTGTCAAGTATATGTCTATATGACATGTAACATTGCGTGGCAAAGTCATTGTCCGAGAAGTGTTTCTCACTAACGTAGTCACGAGGCGTCAGTTCGCAATATCATTCCTATGTATGGCACGAGCCCCACTTCCAACTTCACCGGGTCACTAGGAACTGTTAAGGTAACTACCTTCTCCTTGCACGATGCGTAACCACTATTTCAGTTTGGCGCAACACATTTCTGCTTCATCCTGAAGAAGCACAGCTCCAATTCTACAAAGTTTTCTTTGTCACGGCGTAAAAAGCGCGCGCAAACAATCAGCGCTGCCGTTCCGATGCACTGAAGCTACTGAGAGCTCTTAAGAGATAAAATTATGAAAGCTTGTGGGGAACATTCCCTCTCAGGGTCAACCACGTGTGTGTGCCCACACAATGCAAGCAAAGAGCCAGAGGTGCGTGCACGCGGCAGACGACGTCTGTTCCAGAGCCATTACAGGTAGCTGTTTTCAAACGCTTTGCGGACCGTAAGTCTGGCAGTATTCATTAGTAACTGCCGCTGAAATATCTGTCACATACATTTGTCTATGGTACACACAAAAATTTCAGGACTTTGCAGTGTACGAGACACTATGATGATTTCTAAAAGATGGCAACATGCCGAAAGCGTCATCTCTCGAGCTTTGGCGTAAACCGCATCACTCCGTGACTATCATTTCTCCGTGGGATAAGATAACAACAGGTCTGTAGAAAGACAGTGGGGAGATTTTGTTAGAAAAGCTCCTCAACCTGTACGCAAAGTGTCTCTGATGGGGATGATACCAGAATCTTGGAAAGATGCCAACATCATCTTAATTTTTGAGAAAAGAGATGTCAAAGATTTGGAAAGTTACAAGTCGATCAGCTTTCTACCTGTTGTCTACAAGTTACAGTCGACTCTCATTATTTCAAACTCGAAGGGACATATGAATTCTGTTTGAATTATCAGAAGTTCAGAGATATGTGACTATGTGTGAGGTCACAACACACATTATGATTATCCAATGAATTTATCAGATATAAAACTTGAGCATTTTAAACCTCAACTGCACAAAATGAACAGGAAGCAAAGGTATAAAGTTCACAAATTTATTAGCCTTTACTGGTGATCACGCCTTTTAAAGAAATCGTGAATTGCCAACAGCTCCTTTGCTATATGTGCCTTCTGCACAAAGCTCTCTGTACCAGTTGAGAAGCATCACGGTTTACCATGCTTGTGCTTTGTTTAAAACATTTGTTTACTGGGAAAGCATTCTTAGTTGAAGGCCTGAGGTGCTTACTTTTCATTCTTAAACTGGTAGTATTGTATGAGCACGCAGATTTTTAAATATTAGTGGGAAGGCAGCAGATATTTTCTGGTATGAAACCGCAAGAAGTATGAATTACCCGAATGATAGAGTTTGAATTAGGATGCATTCAAATACATCGAAAGAATAGAGGGCCAACAAAAAAATCAAACTTTGTTTGAATTAACCGAATGTATGAATTATCAGAATTTTAATTCTTCACAAAAATAGTGGGTGATAGAATTAAGACATCAGGGTTCAACCAACCAAAGCACCAAACAGGATTTCGTACAGGCTACTCCTCAATAGACCATATTCATACTATCAATCAGTTATACTAGAAAATGCGCGAAATACAACCAACTCCTTTCATAGATTATGAGAAGACATTTGACTCAGTCAAAACATTAGCAGTGATGCAGGCAGAACGGAATGAGGGCATCGACAAATCCTACATAAACGTAGTGCAAGAAATCTAGGGCGGCTCCACAGCAACCATAGTTATCCATAAAGAAAGCGACAAAATTCTAATAAAGGTCAATGTAACAGGGTGCCTCGATTTCTCCAATGCTAATCATCATGTGTTTACAGAATGTATTCAGAGCCCTAGAATTTGAAGAGTTTGGAATAATAGTTGATGAAGAGTGTCTTAGCAACCTGCAATTCACTGATGACTTTGCATTGAAGAGTAATTCGGGGACGAATTACAGCTCATCATCACTAAACTCGACACAAAAAGCAGAAGAGTGGCGCAAAATGCATATCACGAAGAAAGGGGAACAGAACAGAAGAGAGAGAAGCGCCGAGAGAACAGCGCTTTGCGATATGTGGCGAGACATTAAAAGTTGTAAAGGAATACATCTACTTACGACAGGTAGTAACCACAGAGTCGAACCATGAGAGTCAAATAACTCTAATAATGTACATGAGATGAGGACATTCAGCAATAGTTATCAAACAATGAATGGTAGTCTACCATAATTTCTTAAAACTGAATTTTACAGTCGAACTTCGATATATCGAACGGCACGGCAATCGCGAAATAGTTTGATATATCCAGAATTCGATATAAAAAAATCACGAAAAAAATGCGCCAACAGCTTGCTGAAAACAACCAACGAACCGTTCAAGCGGGGTGCAGTAAAAGCACACTTGAAGATTCAAACATAGTATTTATTGTGTTGGTTTAAAATATTGAAACAGAGTAGCCTGCTTTTTGTTGGCCATGGCGTGTTTGACGACTGTGACCTCAATATAGTCCAGGCGATCCATAAGTGAAAGGCCAGTGCCTTCAATCGCGCCGCAGTGACGGCGCACAAGGGCCAAGGCAGCTACGACCTCAGCTGATGGTGGGAGCGGGGCACCATCAGCGCTTGCGGGATCCACCTCGGCAGAGTATTCATTTGGCTGCTCAGCAGTAGCTTCGGCAACAATCTCCACATCCGGGAGCTCCGCCAGGAGCTCCGCCGTTGGGAGCTCACGACGAACAGTGCGCGAACAGTGCGCGATAGGCCTGTCCAATGCCTCCTCTGGAAAGATGCCTGAGGAATGGCTCCCGCTCTCAGCGGAGTTGGCCTGCCTTCAGTTTTAAACAAGCTCCGCATGGTGGCGCTCGCGACCAACACTATTATCATGGCGACGGGCAGTACCAGCCAGTATCTAAAAACGTTGGTACCAGGTAAGCGTTCTTTGTATGCGGCCCATAGGGGCGCGCCAGTTGAGAGTTGTTCGAGACCTGCAACTGTGCACCAGTATTTCGGAGGCTATGCAAAGTATTGTGTTGTTGCACCGTCCGCCACAGGTGACGCTAGCGACCGAGAACAATTTCAAAATGAAAGAGAGAAATAGTGTGGCAGCTGTTTTTTTCCTATGCAGCAGGCATCTTCCTAGAGGACGCGTCGGCCTGTCACGCACCACAGGCCAACTCCTAACAGTGCGCGACAGGCCTAACTCCAAATGCACGAACACTGCGAGCACAACGACCGATGCCTGCCGATGCTACGGGGGAGGAGCTTGCAACAGGTGCGCAGTGTGCCGTTGACACCATAGAGACTGCAACGACTGCAAGCTGCAAAGCTGCGGCGTGAGTCCGGGTGTAAAGCGCGCACATGGCTCGCCCATGCTGGCTTGCCTGACTGGTGGTGGTGGTGGTAGTGGTTAGAAGGAAGAGAAAAAAGGCACCTAATTTCTGTCTGCCTTCAGGCGACACGGCGCAGTGCCTTATAGGGGTGGGGAGAAGGAGGGATAGAAAGAATAGAAGGAAAATAGACGAAGAAGAAGACAGGCAAGCGACGGAAAAAGAAGGAGATAGGAAAGTGGGGATCCAGTCGAAGCAGTCCAAGGGCGGGGTGCCACAATGCGAGAGCTTCACGGCGTCAGAAGACCGCGGAGGGCGAACCAGTCGGCGGGAGCTACGCTGGCGTTGGAGATCGCGAGGGCACAACCGTCCAGCTTGAAATCCTGCGAGCGAATCCCGCCCGACTGCTTTCCCTTTCCTGGCGGCAGCGCGGGCCGCATCCGAGACAGTCATCTGCGTCCTTTCTCTCCTATACTTTCCTCCTCAATTCATGAGTGACCTGTTCTAACAATCATGTGAGTACGACCACACAGTGTTCGACCAACCTTCTCACCTGTCGATGTCAGGCTAACGTGAATAGAAGAACGTGCCAAGTGCATGGCAATTTCTATACAATCATTCACTCATCACACAACCTAATATTCATTAGTCTGTATATCACACAACCTAATATTCATTAGTCTGTATGATGCGACACCGTTACTCTAAACAGCACTCTGCACTGGTTCTCCATGTGTTCTTGACAAGTGCTTAATAGAAGCGCGTAATATTAGAAGTCCGCAAACCGATCTAATTGGGAGTAAGAACGTAACACTATAATTAATCTGGTGGTCCAGGTAAACTCTAAGAAAGAGTTTCCAGCGACGTTAAGTCAAATTGTTGCTCAAATGAACGGTTACAAAGATAGGAGTAGTAGTCTACTCTGCTTCATGTACCCTGTGCAAAATGGCACAGGACTGCTGCATATATTACAGGCGTCACTAGGGCATACTTGTGTTAATTGTGTAACGGCAAAGTCGTCGTCGAATTCTTACCCGCAAAATCAGCACTCGCGCATGCAAGCACTGTGCAGCACATATTTTCTTGTTCAGAGGCCTGTCTGTGTCTGTGATCGAAGAACTTTGCTGTTGGTGATACATACCTTGCAGTGATTTTTTCCCGCAGAATGAATTTCGGCAGAAGTATCAATTACTCGCACATCGGATACATGTCGGAAGACCGGATTGGTCAAGTCTGTTTCGTGAGTGGCAGACGGTATACCAAAGGTGAGTTTTTGCAGTCATTCTCTTTTCCTATCCTTGTGAGCCCACAAGAGCTTTTAGTTTTAAAATTCGGCACGTCGCACATTGAAAATATGTTATAAAAATTCCGGCTCCAGCAGCACAGCACCAAACTCTAAACCATATTTTAGGCAAGACGGCTATACAATCGATTATTGTATATGTTTTTGTTTTATTGCCATGAGCTCCGAATAAACAAAGATGCGAATATAAAAACTCTTCACCGCCGATCTACTCGTTCCAAGCATCAAAACAAAAAAAATATTGAAGGAATATTTCCATAAAACAACAGCCTTTAAAAGTTAATTTTTTCCGTGTGCTTTCACTAACTGAAATGCTCTGCCTGGGCATTTGATAAACTGCGAAAATGTTCAGCCGTTCAAAGCAAAACCTAAACACCGGCGTCCCACGTGACTTTCATCTTTTTTTTTCTCCTTGTTTTGTATTATTTCTTGAAATATTATCATGGTATGCTTATGATCAAGGCTTTGTATTCTGACACACTGCTGATTTTGTTGCCCCGGTATAAGATGGTTCTTTCTTTATTTATTTCTTTTTTGTGTTTTTATGAGCAGATGCTTGTCATCATTGCTGCTGTGTTTCTTTTTCGTTTTTTTGTTTTGCATGCGTGCACGTGGAATCGCTCTAATTGTGTAAGTACAGGCGTTTCACTTTTCTCGAACGTGTAGCTATGCGTGGTATGTTTTCTTTTTTGTTTCATTTCTATGTGTTTCTTTTTATGTATCACCCACCCCTGCCTAAGGTCTCCTGTACGAGGCTGGAAGTATTTGTGAAATAAAATAAATAATAAATAAATATGTTTGTGCTGGCAGGCAACTCAACAAGGTGCTATCACTAAAGTATGGACTGCACGTAAACTGGTGACAATATTATGACAGGCAACCTGCAAAGTGGTTTTGTACAACATGGTTACTTCTGTTTTCATTTGTTCTATGACAAACATGAATGAGTTCTGTTGCAAAACTTTGACAAGAAGATTGGTAAGAGTGAACGTGCTCACACATTACCTACCAAGTACCTAAATTATTGTGGCTTTAAATAGTTTTAGCATCAACATTGAAGTGTGTGCTGTGTAACTCATCCTAAAATGCAACACCTCTTGATATCTGAGCAAACTTCAATTTAATGCAAGTTACTAGTGCCCTTATACGTCACGAGTGGCTGCTTGCAGGGCTAGGTCATTTCAACTCGTGTAAGAGCGCGAAAAACAGAACAGAACCATGAATGAGAGAAATTGTAAACAGTGATGATTTTCAACTGTTTTTTTTACTTACGATAATGATGTATGCCTTATTTTAGTGCTTACATTTGATTGAAGCACTATAGCAGGTGAGGAAAAGCTATTCTATTTGTTCAATATGCTGGTATGTGTTTCTATTTTGTATAATAATCTAGCTCAGCAGCCAAGTTTTTTCGCTCACTTTTTGCAGCGACATTGTCAAACATACATTTTTCTGCTAGTATGTTTTGCTAGCTGCACGCTTCTGTACTGTGTTCCACAGAGCCAGGCTGCCCTAGCTGCTCCCTTAGCATTTAGTGGTATATCTGAAAGCTTTTCTTGTTGTCATATTGCAAGTTAATTAGTGCTACCTTGACTCTTGCAAACACTCACACAACCACTTGAGAAAAACTCACGACACTCAGCGCTTACTATCAACTGTTTACTGCTCCTAAATGACCTGCTTAGATGCGCACAGAACAATCTGCAAAGGCAACAATGAACAGAGCTGCGCACGCATAAAGCCTTCAACGTGCAGTGTACATAGTGCCATCACACAAGGAACAAGTAAAATTTTTAAGAAGATAATACGAAGAGCAGATAAACCAGCTAGAATCACTTACTCCTTGAGTCTAGAAAAGGTATTTCCTGTTGATGTGACCCTAAAGATGGCTCGCTGACACAGACATTCTTCATTTTTTTTTCAATAGAGTATGCTTACAGCAGCAGACGTGCAGATAAATTCAAGCTTCTCCCAAGAACCTGCATATCTGTAAATCGTGGTTCACAGCCACATGCGGCACTATGTGCCACAAGATGTGCGTAGTTATGCTCGCTTTCCTTAACCTTTGGCGTAGACGCCATAAGCCGGTAATTTAGGCATCACTCGTTAAGCCGATGTAGACGTTTCCGCTGGATAAAATAATGGAGTATACAACTCCCATGGAACTTTTAACGAAGGAAATGCTCATGTGTTTTCAGGCAACTATGTCTCTTGCTATTGCAAACGTGCTGACACAACTTGGCTAGGTTTACTGGTGCCGAAAAGAGCACAGCCACACCATGCCATGAGCGACCTTCTTAAGGTTATTTATTTATTTATTTATTTAATAATACTGCCAATCTCATCAGAGATTATAGCAGAGAAAGCATATGAAAACGAGTATTTGTTTACACAGATTCATATTGATAGAAAACACAAAAAAGCCGGTATTACAAAATGACATGCAAATCATAGGTTATACATTGCCATTAAAGAACACGCAATCAAACAATTTTAGCAATAGCAAAACAAAATCATGAACTAGGTTATCCTTAAAAATTGACTGCAAAAAGATAATGCATGCATTTGTAATATGGGGTAGGGAAAACAAATAGGCATTCTTATTAAACAACTTATTCAAATAATTTTATGAACAATAAACTAATCGAAAAACATGTCACTTGAAAATAATAATCATAAAAAATAAAACTTTTGTATTAGCAATATGACACTGACTCGTTTATTTTGTTTATTGATGATGTGATGTTAGTGCGATTTGGGAGGCAAGCGATTCGCTTTCAATCGCAGCTCTAAACTTGTTTATGGATAATTCAGTGCTTAAGGTGGGTTTCAGCGAGTTCCAATCTTTAATAGTTGGAGGAAAAAATGAGTATTTAAAGCAATTAGTGTTAGAATAGTATTCTACAAGAGTATGGGAATGATTATGACGGGTTAATCTACCGTGAAAAAAAGATAGATACCTTGAGATATCTATTTTTATCATGTTGTGGAGTAATTGAATCATTAGCTTTTGTCTTGTTAGTTTTGTTCAGTTTTGTAGTGTTAAAATGCTAGCGTTATTGAGTAGGTGCGTCGGTTAGTCCGTCAGTCTATACTTGCTAAAAATACACCTTATTGCTGTTCTTTGAACCGCTTCTATTTTATAAATCTGCTGGTGGGTACAGTCGCCGACCGATTTTCCGGACTCCAAAAATTCGGACTTATTGGATATTCCGGACTTTATAAATGCACCGTCAGGGATCCCATAAAGCTAATGCATTGTTTCGACCGATTTTTCGGGCGAATTTGCCCCTGAAAGTTCGATGTTTCGGACTAAATCGCTCGTTTTGTGCCACGCCCCAAGCCATTGTGAACGCCGCCATGTTGGATTTTCTGTCGGCTTGGCTAAGCTTGATCTTCTGATGCTTTTCCTGCCTCCGAGATTGGAATGCGCACGCCATACTTTAAGTTTCGGAGGCCGTGTTTGCTTTTTAAAAGACGCGGTGATGGATGCCGTTTTTTCGTCTTCGGTCAGCACTATCGTCATCACATCGCATGGGGAGTAGGCGAAAGAAGGATTCTCTACCTGTTACAATGACATTTAAAGACTTCACTCGTGCGGACGACGACATTGTTTCGTGCGCGGAGGCCACTGACGACGAAATTCTTCGCCAGGTTGTCCCGGAGCCGGAGAGCGGCTAGGATGACGACAACGACGACCGCCCGCAGCCGTCGGCGGCGGAGATCGCCAACGCGGTGACAATTTTGTCGAGCGTTTATGGCGACGATGTCACCTTGGCGCAAATACGGGCAAACCAAATTGCCTCCAAGCGTAGTTTGAGGCAAGGCAGCATCAAGGACTTTTTTAAACCAGCCTGATGCAATAAACTTCAGATTTTTGGCGAAAACGAATTTTTCGGACTGTTCGATTTTTCGTACTTTTTTTCGGTCCCCGCCAGGTCCGAAAAATCGGTCGGCGACTGTATATGGAAACCAGACAGGGCTGGAATAATCTAATACAGATCTGACGAGGGTAGTATAAACTATTAGTTTTGTATTTGGTGGTGCGAGTTTAAGACGTCTTTTCAATAAAAATAGTCTTTTTATGGCTGTGCTAGTAATATTATCAATGTGGCTATCCCATCTGAGGTTGTTTGAAATCATTATTCCTAGATATTTGTGGCTAGAGACTGTGGCTAAGGGGCAGTTGTCAATCATGTAAGAAAAGTTGGACCTGTGTTTTTTGCGAGTCATTGTTATGGAGACACATTTACTAATATTGAGGGACATTTGCAATTTTGGCACCACATGTGTACGTCTTCTAGTGCTTGGTTAGGAATTTGGTGATCTGTAGAAGATTAATTTCCTGGTAAAATACGCAGTCATCTGCAAAAAGCCTTAGTTTTATTTCAGTTGAGAGGGGCAGATCTATAATGAATATTGTGAATATTATTGGTGCTAAGACGCTAGCCTGTGGCAAGCCTGACATGACGGCTGCTATTCTAGAGTTGGTGTCCTGTAACTGTACAAATTGTGAGCGATTGGTTAAGTAATACTTAATCCAGTGATTATTGATGCTATCTTCAAGAGTAACTTCCAATTTACTTTTTAATTTTGTATGAGAAACACAATCAAATGTCTTTAAAAAGTCTAAGAAGTTGAGGTCAATTTGTTTATGGTTATCAATGAACTTGGCTGCATCGTGTATTAATTCTAAAAGTTGAGTAACCATTGAGAAGCCTTTTCGGAAACCGTGTTGTACAGAAGACAAGATATTATTTTTTCTAAGTAAATACTTATGTATTTCAATAGCATATGTTCTAACAATTTACACACAGAACAAGTTAGTGATATTGGCCTGTAATTTGAAACCATGGTTTTGCTGCCTGCTTTGTGTATTGGTATAATTTTTGCGGTTTTTCATACTGCGGGGATAGTGCATGATTGCAGTGATTTATTAAAGATTACACATAAATATTTAGC